TAATTCTGGCTACTCGGAAGGCTGAGGCGGAAGGATCGCCAGAGCCCAGCAGGTCAAGGTGGCCGGGAGCGGCCACTGCACTCCAGACTGGGCGACAGAGTGAGACTCCAACTCAAAAAATAAAATAAATAAATAAATAAAAATTTTTGTAGAGATGAGGTTTCACTATATTGCCCAGTCTGGTCTTGAACTCCTGGGCTCAAGGAATCCGTCTGCCTTGGTCTCCTCAACGTGCCGGGGTTACAGGCGTGAGCCACCAAGCCCAGCCTGTTGTAGTACTTTGAGTTCCTACATAGCAAACGACAAACTAACTTAGTCTGTAAGCAAACCAAAACCTAACTTAGGAGTATATTTTTTGTAACAGGTAGCTGGGTGTCAGCCAATCACTGGCAGCCAACTAATCAGACCATGTCCAAATAAGGCAAACCTAGCTGTCACCAAGCAAGCTATTTCTGTACTTCATTTCCTGTTCAGACTATTAAAAACTGACTACCCACATGTCAAGAGGGACGCTCTCTAGACTTCTGGTTTTGAGTGCTGCCTGATTCACGGTGCCTTTAATGCTAAGACAAACTCTGTTAAATTTATTGTGTCTGAAGTCCTTTTACTGTGCCACAGACAGGTGACCAGAACATGTTTTTAGGATCTCCACTATGAGTAGGGTAACCACACACCCTCGTTTGGGCTTGCTATCCCAGAGGAATTATTAGCGTCCTCTTTTACTCTCCAAAGTGTCCCGGCTTGGATGAGAAAGGGTCAGGGGAAACCCTCTATGGTATTTCTGCTTCCCTGCTTCATTTACAAAATCACATAATAACTTGTATCCCTAAGCTGAAAGTTGGAGAAAACTTTTTACAAAGCCAAATTAGGCAACTCTGAGGATTCCTTTACTCCCTGATCACACACATCTGGTCTGGCCCATCCTTATTCCTTGCTGTAAAACAAGGCAAGGGTATTGTATCTTACCTCCCTGGGTGCTCCATTTAAAGACCAGAATCTCACTGTAAGCTTGATTGAATCTTTGATTCCCTTTCAGAGAACTGCTTAAGTGGAATACTGCTTTATATTTCAAAAAACATGCAAAGAAAAAAAATTCTTTTGAAAATCATTTCTTATTTGTTCATCCAAATCATGCAGGTACAAAATGAAGGATGAGAAAGTGCCAGATCTGCAGCAGGTAAACTGTCTTCCTCAGCTCCCAATCAGTTCAGTCTTACTCACAGCTGAATTTCAGTTCCATTAGGAAAAACAAGGACCTTAAACCGACCTCCTCAGACATCAGGACACTAGCCCCTCAGGAGCCTGTAGACCTGACTCACAAAACTGGCCTTTTTTTTTTTTTTTTTTTTTTTAAGAGACTTGGTCTCATGCTGTCACCCAGGCTGGAGTGCAGTGGCATGATCATAGCTCACTGTGGCCTGGAAGTCCTGGGCTCAAGAGATCCTCCTGCTGGATTTTTCTTTTTCTTTTTCTTTTTTTTGCTTTTTGTGGTGACAGGGTCTCGCTATGTTAACCAGGCTGGTCTCCAACTGCTGGCCTCAAGTGATCCTCCCACCTCGACCTACCATGAGCCACTGCTCCCAGCCAAAACTGCTTTGGGAGAAGGCAACTGTCGCAAGTGGATAGCAACTCCTCCTAGACAATATTTACATAAGACAAAGATCAATACTCACTGCGTGGTACCCATACCGTGTTTATGCAGGTGTGTATGTGTTGTGTGTGTGCGCGCATATGACTGCTACTGGATACCATCTTTCCTGACTGAGATATTAGATAGCCTTTGTGTATGTGTGCTCATGTGTGCGTTTCTGTACATACACGAGGGGAGGTGATTTTATACATTGTAAGTTGACAATATTTGGAAGAGTCAGATGGCAGAGGCTGACCGGGAAATGGAACTAAACATCTGGGATTTCAAGCCCACAAATGCTGAAGACATGAGCAAAGCAGTTCTGAGTGCTGTCCACAAGCTAAGCTGGATCATGGAGGAGGGCGAGCACCTTTCTCCTGGATCAGTCAATAAATATTACTGATTTATTTGTGTCCTGGGAGCACAGGCCTGGCCTACATGCTCTGCAGTGAGATTTGGTAAGGGTTCAAAGAAAAATATCTTCCCTTGGAGATTTTATAACTCAAGAGAGGACAGACAGGGAAGACACAAATAAGTTCCTTTACAGCTAATGGGCAGAAATGCACACTCTAACAATGACTGAAGGTTGTGCTTCCTTTTGCAAATGGCACAAAAGGAACCTACTCTGGATATCCTACAGCTAATGCACAGAGAGCTACAGGGTTGGGAGGAACCGTGAGCAAATCCTAGCACCACGCTGTTGTTGAATAGGAACATCAAGAAGCATCAAGGATTCCTAAGCGAAGTGAAAATGCACACCACGCCTCGGGCTCCTGATGTGTGAGAGTGACGTCAGTGCCTTCTCTGGTGGGAAATGGGAGGTGTGAACGCCTTACATACTTGTGAAAGTTAAATAAGCCACCATTTGGTGACAGCCACGAATGAGTCTGCAACAAGGAAGATTAGTCCAAATAAATCATTACGGAGTACGACACATCGTGAGCGATGAATCTTCTTGCCTCTCCTGGTAAGGCTAGCTAAACCCTCACACACATCAAGTAAAATGCCAGCACGTGGGCAAAGGGTAACTGGTTAGCAGAGACAACTGCCAAGTACCTTATGGGATGCGAGGGTGTGCCAGAGTGACAAGAACTTCGTTCGATGTCCTGAAAGGGAGAAGGAAACTTTGACAACAGGGAGTAGGGAGGGCATTTAGGAATGAAATAGTCAATATCAAACTGAGAAACAGGAAACATCAGCAGCCCTGGCTAATAGCTGCCAAAGGGAACTTATCGAGCTTAATGAGG